GCTTAAAAGCCACCGGACGTCGAGTGCTTTCCTTTCGATCCTCTTGGAGCCATTTTTTTTGGTCTTTTGGAACGAGGAGGTTAAAAGAATGACAAAAAATTGTGGGATTTGAATCGGGGAGCAAACAAAAATTGTTTACTGATCCATATTTATAAAAATTTTGATGCTGCGACGCCATGCCTTGAGCGGGTTAAGACCGTGCGAACCAATGATCTGATTTTTGCTCGTTACAAATTGTTCACTCAGGCCTAATTAATGTGGTGCCGTGGCGCCTAATCTCGGAACTACGATGATAGGGCATGACCGGGTCAAACGCAGTTAAATCATTATGTTTTACTCGAAATGTGGATAACCCTTACTGTTATTAATCCATCGTTGTGGCGTCGGAGGGTCAGTGCCAGTCTAATTTCCTGGGGCTTTTCAAGTAATGGCAAATAAAAGAGCCGTTACATGCGGTAAATGCCTTTTAGATCATGATTATTGGTGGCGCCGTGGTGCTGGTGAATCTCCTTGTGGTGTTGCAACCTCGTTTTGCAGTGTTGCGGTGCTAAACACTAATCTGGAAGGGGAGGCTGAGGAGCACTTGGAAGATCGAAACAAGATTCTCTAAGCGTTGCAAGAAGTATTGACATTAAGATGAGCTAAAAACGACGCCAACACAAGCATGATGAAAACAATATGATTTGAATATGACGTGTGTGAATTGAGTTGAGTGGCTCAATGATCATCGAATAGCTCAAATGCAGTCCAATCGTAAAATTGACTACACTGGCTCTTTCAAAGTGTCAAAATTAAGTGAAAGAAACATATATATTGCCGAGTCCTTGCACGAATGTGAAACACTATTTAGCCATGTGCAAGGTCAACAAAATGCAAACTGAGGTCAATGACATGTCAACTGAGGCAGTCAAAATTAAGTGAAAGAAACATATATATTGCCGAGCCCTCTCACGAATTTTAAACACTATTTAGCCATGCGCAAGGTCAACAAAATGTAAACTGAGGTTAATGACATGTCAACTGAGGCACAACAAATGATGAATTTTGCAATTTGATAAAATATATATAAAAAAAGAGGATAGATTTTGTTATATAATTACATATATAAATAAAATTTAATTATAAATTAACTAAAAGTATAAAAATCACGAAATTCTCGAAATTCCACATGCTCTAGTCTCTCTCCGTACCAATGTAACCATATCCCAAATTACCATCCTATACAAAAAAAGATGTTAATATTAAATGAAATAAATTAAACACTACTCTCCTTCCCCATACCACCCTTCCTCCCATCCTTCCCCATCCTTCGCCAGCTGCATCGAAAAATTTGAAAGCCAATTTCTACTTCTGCTTACCAGACCTCTCTACTCAAGCACGAAGGCCCTCGTTCCTACTCGAAATCCTGCAAGATCTCTCACCGGTGCTGCTCATTTATCCTCTCATTCACGTTGAATCCCTCACTTGTAACTTTCATCACGTCGCTCCTCAAACAATAACCACTAGCTCTAACTCCAGCAGCCGGTTCTCTTACTCAACCCCCCATCTCGAGCTGCGAGCAACCGTAAAATCAGCTACTCGCCTCTTGCTTTTTGAAGCTGGCAATCCTTTTCTTCTTTTAGTGACCAAACCGAGCAGACAATCTCAGCACGAAACCAGCTTCATGTCTTACTTTTGTTTTCACCATTAGATTTGCAATACTATTGCATGAGCAGATAGAAGCCAATGATAAAGATGTTTCAGTTGAAATCTTGCATGGATCTCAATCTTAGCATATTCGCTTAAGCTTTCAATATTCGAGACATTTGAGGACTTGCACATTTTTTAAGATCATTTTCAACCCCAACATGCTGCCTTGAAGAATGTGCAAGTTCTAAAATTATATACTTTAAGATGTGTGCATGCGCCGTTCAATGACTCTCTGAATGGCTTGAAGAATGTGCAAGTTCTAAAATTATATACTTTTAAGATGTGTGACTCTCTGAATGTCTTGAAATATGTGTAAATGTGCATGCAACCGCACCAAAATTCATGTAAGTGCATCACACAAATGCATCTGAGATGCGTGCACATCTACAAACTAGCCCGCATGTGCTCTACTTGTTGCACTAATTATTCGAATGCACAGCCTGAGAATGCTACACTGGTTAAAAAGTAAGATAAACTTGAATTGTCCTGCTTTGATAAACATGCCAAAGTTCTTAAATTGTGCAAATCTATCAAGTAAAAACTCTCAGCACGTGCTCCAATCAACATAATGTTCGAACGCCAGGTTCGAAAATATTATGTGGGTTAAAAATAAGATCAACCCAAGTTACTTTCACTCTAAAAAGTATGTAATTATTCTGAAAAGCAGGCGAGCGCTTTATATTTTATAAAATCTATTTTTAAATCAGATTCACATTGTCAATTTATGTGTCTCTCGAGTTGGTTGCCTTATCTATAGAGAAATATTGTAGGTCTCACTCGATTAGTCTGATCTTTCTACTAATAAGAACTGGAGTTGATAAAATTGAACCCCAACTTAGCTTGTATGATCCTCTTGATAAAAACTAGAGTTGACAAGACTAAGCCCCCTATCTTGGCTAGTTCAATCATCTTTTTAGCAAGGAGTGGATTAAGCAAGACCAAGTTCCTATTGTAGTCAGTCTGATTTCTCCCCAATGAATGGAATTGACTGTATTGAGCCCTACTATCTTATCCTTCTTATAAGGACAAGAGTTGGAAAGTTTGATAGTCTAAACATTTAGATGATATGTTTTAATTGAAGTTGCAATTATAAATTCTATTATTACTCAATAATGATGGTCGTGTTGATAGAAAATTAAATATAAGAGTTTTACTTTAAAAATGAAGTTATATGCTAAAAATATGAACTCTTAATTTGAAAATTATAAGAGACAATCATAAGATTTAATTATTAGACATGAGTCTCTATGTTTAAAATCGAGTTGAGAGGATTATCCATACAACAAATTTTCAACTAAAAATATAATCATATGTCAAATTATGAACCCGTTTCTTAGTTCAAAGTGTTATTATGAGGAGCCTGATTGTATCAATCATTTGGTTACTCAATGCCCTCAGTTTCACCGATCAAGCTTGGCAGTGAGTTTGCTAGGGGTGTTCCCCTCTATTTGGTTCGGGGGTGCTGCCCTTAGATTTTTTTTTAATATACATGGTGCCCCAACGCCTAGAAGAGGACACCACAACGCTAAAGCCCAGGTTCAGAACCTGAGCGCACAATAATCCAGCACTCAGAGGGGAGCATCTCAACAACCCATTGTTGCAATGCCAAGTCCAGGTTCGGAAAATTGAGAGATGACCTTGCGGAGGGCCCCACCCCAGTTGGAGCAGCACAACACCACTATCGTTACTCCTTGACACCAGTAATTGAATTTGTGTAGTTCTCCAATTTAAGTTTCGTTTCTGCTGACTGGAAGTCTGCACATTAAGTTGGATTTTGATTTTTGTTGTGTAAAAGGAGGAGAGAATTCTTAAAGTGTTACAAATTATAGAGAGATTTGAGTGTGGTTTAATTTGTACAATTCACCTCGTCTTCTTCATAGTGAATTTCTTGATGTCGTATGACTCCATGGTTTTTTCTCGTTCTTGGGGTTTTCTATGTAAAATCTTGGTGTTTTTATTTTATTTTTTATCCGCTTTTGTTCTAAGTTTTGCTTCGGATCCCTCTAATCGGTCTCCGTGTTTCTCTCCCTGACACAAAGCTATCTAAAACCCCGATGATAACCATGTCAAATGAAAATTTTAGTTTGAAATATTTTCATTTTCCAAATATTCTCAAAACTCAATTAAAATTATTTTAAATTCAAAATTCAAGCATTTAGATAAAATAATCACTAAAAACTTTAAGTAAATCTCATCTATCCTTCACACTAGTTTGTTGAGGGTAACAAATTTAAGATCAACCCAAGCTTATAATGAGCCAATGTCACATCAATTATATCACTATATTCACACTTAAAATCACACCAATAAGGATATGTCACGACCCATCTGTCACATAGTTTGGCTAGTCGGCTTTGTAATATAATGATTACAACTAGACCCCTTTAATCATGTGGTCTGAAGCCAAATAACTCCATTATATTTTCATCATCGCTATAGCTCATATGTTCCCTAATAGCCCCTTTGTCATTTGAGATGTAAATCAGAGTATTTTTGATAGGGCATGAAATCCTTTATCAATTATGATTGATTTAGATAGTCCCCTTAGACTAGCATCCACCTCATGTTTATAAGGTCCCTTTAGATGAAAAGACCCATGGTTAATGATGTGTATCATTTATTCAAATTCTCCTTCTCTGATTAAATTGACCATGATAAATGACAACCCCGAGACAATGAAACCTTGAGATCTTGATCGAGTACATTATTATTCTCCCCACCACTCGCTCTAAGTTAATGATGGTAAATTTTTATAATTTTATGTCCTAAATCTGCAACTAATATATTTCGAGCAATCAAATTTTAAATGACTAGCTTTGATCGAAAATGCTTTCTAGTTATGGGGAGGAATAATTAATCATAGGTGCTTACACCTATGAAAAATCTAGAATCCAAGATCAAAATATTCTCACCAAAATCAAAGCGAAATTTAAGAGTTGGTCTTATATGCAACCTAACTCCCTTTTGAAAATGACCCAGAACCCAACACTCATCATTTTGAAGGAGGCCAGGGGGCGAATTTTTTTGCGCCCCCATTTATAGCCAATCAATCCTAATTCCGAACTCATTCTACCTCTCCATACTAAAATCATTCTTACTTCTGTAATATTAAGTTTGTCATCTGATTAATAATATTAGTTTATTTGTTCCTATGTTTATAAATCATGCCATCATTTTTATGTTAACTCATGTTAATATTGCTGTATTTTCCAACTGAATGAAAACTCTCTGCTTGAACGAACTGTTATATTCCTATGTCCTGACAGAAAAAAAAACTTTAAATTCTAATTTCTGCTTTTTATGCTGCTCAGTCGGCTGTATACTTGGTTGCTTGTTGTGCGAGAAGAAATGCTGCCAGTAGTAATTCCTTAAAAGAAGAGAGAAGATGAGTTCCAGAGGAAGAGCTTGAAGATGCTTGTTCTTAGATGAATTCTGAACTCTGAAGCAAAGGTAAAGCTGACAAAATCTTTATAATTGACCCTTTTCAATGGTTTGCCTGAAGAATTTTTCTGTAAACCATATTATTATTATTATTATTATTAATGACTAGTTTAGATGAAGTGAAAGCTGTTTTAGGAAGTTAGATTTTTTTTTGAAGTGTTGATATTGTATGTTTTGAAGTCTTTCAATTGCTGTTAGCAGTTATTGGAAAAAGAAATTGAAAAAGGGTAAATACATCATCTTTTGTTTTAAATGTTGACAACAACAGCATGTTGCAAAATCTCATGACAATTTAATATTGAACTCACAATGAAAGTAAGTTTTTGGAATAGTGGATTTCCATTTTATGACAAATCTAACTACATAATAAAAAATTTTACTAGAAACATAAATAAGGGCAAAAGTTAAACGAAGAGGTAAGGAATAATGTCTGTAGACGTGGAGGAAATACTAATATTTAGTGTAAAAAATATTCTAATAAAGGCACGGATGTTGGATTTATGTAGGGGTGTCAATTCGGGTCAGTGGGTCGGGTTCGGATTATAGAAAAATTAATATTTTCAAATGCACATTGTCAGGATCATCCCCAAACACGCTTAAATATGTCCTTACTAGGTCAAAACACTCCTGTTGATTTTTCTAAGGGCGGCATAACTCATCGAGTTTGATCTCTCCTATGTGCCTCGAACCGACATCAAGCCCCAAACCATAGCTGGCTTACTTTTTTGAGCCTAGAGAGTTCGACAAAGAAGTCGCAAGATTGATGACAATATCAGGTTCCTGCATATTGATAGATTATCCAATCGAACTGGGGTGGGGCTCGGTCTTGCTCTATCAAATCCAATCAAAGATCATTTGTACCACTCGATAGAAGTGAGATTCAAAGTCACTAACAATCAAGCTGAGTATGAAGTTCTAATTGTTGGACTGCAATTTGTTTACAAAATGAGCACACAACATCTACTGGTAAAATTGGACTCACAACTGAGCATCAATCAGGTGAACGAGCAATTCAATGTTAGGGATGAGATGATGTCCAAGTACCTCGATAAAGCCAAGATTGAGATTTAGATGTTCAAATGTTTTAAGATTGAACATATCTCCCGAGCGGACAACCAAGTAGCGGGCATTCTATCTAAGTGCATCCACTTAGGGGAGGGGACAACCTAGAGGCTCATTTGACTGACCATAGAGGAAGCTGATTATGGAGCTGGGAGTGAAATGATCAAAGAGTTGGATGGATTCATATAACTTATTTCTCGAAAGTGGGAAGGTCTCAAAAGAAGTAACCAACCTGAAGCATTTCAAAAAAGTTAATACCTTATGATCGAGGGAAAACTTTTATGAAAGTTAGTCACCTCGTTATATCTGAGATGCTTCAAAAAAGAAGAGATAGAATGTCCTCTGGGAAGTGCATTCAGGGGAATGTAGAAGTCACTCTGAAGGTAAGCCTTTGGCACACCACGTACAGTGACAAGAATATTTCTAGCTGACACTTCAAAAGGATGCCAAGAATTCTAGAGGAGGTGTGAATAATAAGAAAAGTATGCACCGCTGCAACATTAACCAACTTATAAATTGCAAAACCCATTATTAGCACATGGCTTTTCACTGTTTAGGGATATGCTATCTCGGGCTCATTGCCCCTTCTCAAGACTAGCAAAAATTCCACCAACTTCTACTTAGTATCCAACCATTCTGACGAAGGACGGTCAATTGAAGATGAGAAGCTTTACATACAATCGAATAACATTTGTTAGTCATTTAGCATAGGTTTGACAAGCTTTGTTCTAGAAGGGCCTCTTCAAAATCGGGAGACTAAATCACATCAGCTATGTTTGGGGGGTAGGGGGAAATCGTTGGGGGATCAAATTACCAGTCTTTCCGAAGATTGATCATCATAAGCCTGCCATATGAGCTCGTGCTCACCTTCAAATAAATAATACACTCATTTATGTTATGGAGTGACTTCGTGATCACATCAACATAGAAAATAAAGCAAGAAAAACAAATTTCTTCTGAGAAATGACATTTTAAATTACAATGAGACACTCATAAATTAGTCCAATATAAAATACTTTACGAGTGGGTCTGTCGTCGCTTCAGCCGCTACCAACCCTGGCTGAAGCAACCTCATATACAAAAACTTGCCCCCATACAAAAAAAATTTCTTATTTTTATCGTAGCATCATTTTCAAAAGTAAGAGAATTAGAAAACTAAAATATTTACATAAAAAATGTGTCAATGTTGATCCTGAGTATATTAAACGTCTATAAAGGAAGAGTACAGTGAATGTGGATCCACTACCAAAAATTGAAGCCTGTTTGTTCGACCAAGTGAAACTGTTTGAGCCAAGCTATGAAGACCAAAATTGATTGGGCCACGATGCAGACAAAAAGACGATTGGACGACCCGAGCCCGAACCATTTCGCCGTATGCAAGGCAAAAGAACATCTGAGCCAACTGTGACAGGAAATCCGACTAGATGTAATAACCAGCCCTCTTATGGAATTAATCCAATGGAAGATCCAGTTTCACAGTATCCCCGACCATCCAAGGGAAGCCCCAAAAGTTCCTCATCAATGACTAAGGATTGACAACCAGACCGTATCAATTGGCTGACCCGTACAAACCAAGCTCAACTTGCTGAATTGATCCTACTGACCTGGAGCCGATTAAGGTCAACCGATCAAGTCAGAAAGTAGCCGGACGATAGAAGCACACATGTAAAATATCATAAATATTCAATGCTAACCCCTTTAAAGTAATGACAAAAATGTAATATCATAATTTCGTGTCATCTCCTTTATAAATAGGTGAATTATTTTTTGAATAATTTTGTATATTTTTGTATTTAGATTATATTTCTTAGGTGTGATTCACAAACAAATTATGATTAAACAATGAAAATTTAGGTCTTAGATATATTAATAGCTAAGAATTTAGCGACATGTATGTAAATCTTCCTAAATTAAAATAAAATCAAAATTTGCTACATTTTAAATTTGAATTAAAATTAACAAGCCTTATTTGACTAATAAAGATATAATCGAGCTAGCTACATCTACTTGTCTGCGTGAGAGTATCTGAAATAATTTATAGAAAAATCTATATAAACATCATTAAATCTTTTATATTTTTATATATCTAATACCCATATTTTTATATTTATTTATATAATATTTTAGTATATAAATTGCATAAGAAATATGAAATATTTATTTTATTTTAAAAATCAATTTGATGATATTTTTATATAATTTAAAGATTATGTTATTATTTAAAAATATTAAATATTAAGTAAGGAAATTTATGTAGTAACACACAATTATTATGTATTTATATATTTTATATCTAAACTTTTATATTTATATTTGACTTCTTAAAAATTAATAATAGTGTAAAAGTGTAAGATATCTAAATAGATATAAATATAGAAGTGCTGAGTGCTAAAGTGCATAAAAATTTGCCTTGGTTTTTAACGCCAGCCGGCTCTATCTTCCCCGAGTTCCCTCAAGCTCGATTTGTATTCTTCTCCGGTTCTCCCCATCCTTCTCCACCTCATCCCGTAGACGACTGCTCGATCGATTCCTATCCCGGCGGCGATATTCCGATGGAGAACCCTCAGCCTGGTGTGGAGAATGGAGGCGATACATCCTCCGAGAAGGTCGAGAGCATGGCGACCTGGGTCGGCACAAGCATTGCTTCCGCCTTCTTCGCCTCTCTCGAGCGCTTCTCCTGCATAAATATCTCTACCAGCGATCTTGATGACGAGATCGAGGAGAATTCCAAGGATTATCCTCTTGTGAGCTCCTCACAGAACTCCTCTGATCACTGCAGCAACGAGACAGGCTTCGCTCCAAATTTCTCCCCATGTGCCTCGCCATCTAATTAATTAACACGTGCTTCCTTCCTCCTCCTCTGCCATTGGTGTGGCGTGATCTGATGTCGACTCGCCGTGAACGCCGTTGTTCTTACTGTTCGTGATTTCCTATCCTTTTGTAAGAGCAGGGACCTTTTTTTGGTCTTTGTTAATTAATTCTGGATCCATCTCTGTTTGTCATGGAAACGTCCTTATCTGAGAATATTTTTTATGTTTTTGGTAAGTGGTTCTGCGGATGAAATTTTAAGGCAATTTGATTCAATCGATGTTGTTGAAAATAGTTATATATAATTGGATGTGCAGGCTGTGAAATAACATTTGATATTGATCTCCAAGTTTGGAAGTTGAAAATTAGTTGTTTAATTCAATTCTTCCAAAGACTATTTGGGAGTCGTTTCTTTCTCCCGTGTCATAGTTTCAACTAAAATGGAGTCGTCGAGTTTTATGATCAATGGTCCGTCTTGTTTAGCGTTATTTACATAACATTTCTTTCTAGATAATTTTCAATCAAGATAATAATTTTATCCATCAAATTTAATACACCAAATTCATGATTCTCTAACTTAAACAATGTAATATTATCTAAAACGATCAATGGGTTATGATTTTTATTTTTTATTTTTTTAGCCATCAGATAGCCTGTATCTAAATATTGATGGATTTGGCTAATATTGATATCTGCTAACAATGTAATATTACATACCATACCCAAACATCCGAGGGGATACCTGCTAGTGTCGCTGTTCTTTTAAATTACTCTGAAATCCGAATGTATTGGTGGTGCATTTAATGCTCGGTTGATTTTGAGTCAAATTAGTATTTGTTTAACTTAGAAAGGAGCCATCTTCATCTTATTCGGGCTCTTGTGCAGGAGAAAATATTAGGTGTGTGCAATACACCTAATGTTGTATTTGCACTCTCTCTCCCTACACTCTCTTGCTTGTTATTTGCTGCCCCTTGGTGAGTTGCACGCACCTAATATTTTGTCTTTGTTCAGATGCATCCTTCTTTGCTCAAGCATGCTTCTAGACATCCTTTTGTATGTATCATTAAATTCTGAATTAAATGTCATTCATGAATATCTGCCTTTCATTGTTAAATTCTGAATTAAATGTCATTCATGAATATCTGTCTTTCATTGTTTTGCCTTTCATTGTTTTTTTTTTTTGGTTTCATATTACTCATGATATTGTTAGTTCTCTAATGATTTGGTGAAAAACTAGAGCCAGATTACAACAACAAAAAAAAAAGCAAGCCTCTTATATCATACATCCTATTATGACAGTGATAGAATGTCTAGTAAAATTAAATAAAAAGATGAACAAATACAACTTTACAATCACAAGATGCTCATCGTTACGTAATTTTGTGATATTCACTTTACATCAAGGCCACACGAAGATCAAATATTTCTCTGAAAACTAGAAGAGAAATTCATCAATGATTTTTTTTTTATTTAAAAAAAATATAGAGTTACCAATTTCTTTATGTTAAAAACATAATATGTGATCACCTATTGCAAAAATCAACTATTAATCATCTTTTCTTCTTAACTATGAGAGCTTTTTTTCTCTTTGATCTCTGCTGTCAAAATTTTTCTCTTTTATGCCTGAAAGCTTAAGCCCCTCTTCTTTCTCTCGTTTTTCTTCTTATTTGCTTTTGTTTCATAGGATGTACCAACAAATTGAAACCATCTTCTTACATATTGCTTAGAGATGGTAAGTGGTAAGCTTGAATTTATTAGTAGATAATAGTGGGTATGATAATCTAAATGCTTGGTAGAGGTTGGTAGCTGATGAATTTATATGAGTAAGGTAGAGGGTGGTAGGTAGAGATTTTGTTTGAATTAGATAAAGATAATTTTATTTTTATATCTTAATAATCTCCCACTTAGAGATTTATGTATCCCACTTGTGTATTTAATGGTATAGTATTTGAAGTTCTTTTTTTTTTATACAACCTCTTCATATTATCATTTATAAGGGTTTGTTGAGGTTTTGTAAGCCTCAACTTTTCACTGAGTACAACATCTATTAGCATATCATCAGGGCTTTGTTCCTCAGATTTTGACAAGCTTTAAAATAATATTTTTAAACATGCTGCATATAAGGTGGTATTTGAGTTATATATGCTATTTGGGAGTGGAAGGCAACATTATTTGTCAAGTGAGTGACACTCTAACTATCATAGAGTAGATAAATATCTTTTTATGATTAGTTTACTTCTTTTAGAAAATCTTTTAGCCAAATGATGGCTTTACTGGATTCAATAACAATTGTCTATTAGATTCTATTTTTGATAATGCAACAATCTTCTGTGGTTGTGTACCCAACTGGTACATGTGCCACTTGATGAGTACATGTACATCATAGTGCTTCGTGTATTTTGGTCTCCTCCCAGACCTGCATCAACATTTTCCTGTAATTTTAATTTAGCTTTTTAAATTTTAGTGAATGACTAATTATACTTTTTGGGTAGTGTATAATTCACTTTATAGCCTTCTAGTATTCCTTTACTAGATTTGATATTTATAAATTAGCGTTTCCAACTATATGTGAAATGTGTGATCTTGTACAAATCATTCTACATACATCAATGAGCCAAATACAAGAAACTTTGACCATATAGTCTTTCTATCGGTCTTTAATAGTTGCTCCTTTGAGAGCTTGAAGTGAATTGCACGTGGCGTGCTCAACAGCTTGCTTTCGTTTTATTGATCCTATGCAACATTTTTTTCATTGATAAGTTTATAATACTTGTAGCTTTATCCTGATCCATTTTTCACTCTAAGAATCTTCATTGGCTTTTCCAAGACCTTTCAAGTCAAATTTCTTTTAAATTCGTTGATTTTCCTAATGCTGTCCTGTATAATCAACATGTTAAAAGCGGAATAATATAATCTTTGTCAGCGCCTTTTAGACTCAACAATGACCAATATTACACTCTGAAAGTCAATCTTGTGCATGAATGCATTAAACTTCGAATATCATTAATGTAGAGTTTGCTTCAAACAATATAAGATTTTGTTGATCTATAGATTTATCTTTTTAATCCTTGTACAGTAAAGCCTTCAAATTGAACCATATATATGTTTTCCTTGAGATCATTATAGAGAAAAGCCTAACATCCATCCATTCTAGATGCAAGTCTTCTATAGCTATAATATTCAATACAAGTTGTATTGTTATTATTTTAACTACAAGAGACAAATTTTCTATAAAATCAACATATTCTTCATGCTGGAAGCTTTTTACTATCATGTAACTTTTGTTGTTTTTATGCTAGTCATTGATTGCATATATTCGTTTATTTTATAAAGCTTTCTTTTCCTTAGGTAGCATAATCAATATTCTGGTATTATCTTTATAGTGAGTTTTTCTTTTGTTTCATTGCTAGATCTCACATAGATGAATCTTCAACTTGCATGGTATCTTTATGATATTTAGATTCATCTAGTCTCATAAGTAGTAAATAATATAGAGAAGGAGAATACCATTAAATGGGTTTGGAATTTTCTGTGATGTCACTTTTGGCATAGGAGTGCTTGATTAAGGTTGATTTTGATCATTTTCATGTATCTCCCATCCATTTTAGAATTTCTTTGCTTTTCTAATTAAATTTTCTTTGTACAGGAGATTTCCTTTCTAAGCTTGCTTGGCCTTTGTACATTTTAGTTTTTTTGAAAATAACATTCTTGCTTTTGAGTAGCTTTTTATTTTTATCACCCCAAAATGTATATATAAACTCATTAGTACCTTAATAAATTAGATAGCACTTCTCTGGTTTTGGTTCAAATTCATCTCTTATATTGTTATAAATGTGTGTAAAAAAGGCAACTAAAAATTTTCAAAAGTGAGATACATATCGATTTTTCTAGTTCAAGATTCTGTAGGAAGCCCAAGATTTAAGCTCTATAAATGAACCTCGAGTGATGAGGTATACTTCCATATTTTTTGCATCATCCTAATATATTTTGGCAGTTCTGCATGTAGTCTCATGTTCTTAGCCTTTTGTTTATATTTTTTATCTACTCAATTTTGCTGAGTTTATGGAACCATGCTCTTCATATATATCCTACTTGCAACACAAAATTTTTTTAATTCTATGACATAACATTTGCCGCCATTGTCGGATCGTAGACATTCAATTTTTGCACTAGTCTTATTTTCAACTAGACTTCTACATCTCACGAAATTTTTATGATTTGGAGATTTATTTATATTAGGATATGTATGTTTGCTTTTATTTCATGATTTGGATTTACCTCTACCTTTAATGATTTCTGTTGTTTTGAGACTGATATCTTCACTAGGGAGGAGCTCTTTAAGCTCATTCAATGTCAAACTATTTGATATCTTCACTAAGGATGAGGTCTCCGTGCTCATTCAACTTCAAATTATTTGATCCTCAGGAGTTGTTTATAGATGTTGTTATACTATTCAAACTTTCAAATGAAGATGAAAGTAGACTCGAGGCACCTATTTCATTATCAAAGTTGATAGACATTGAGTTTAATTGACTTGTGATCGAATTGAACTCGTTGATATGCTTCACAATAAAGGCTCATACGTATCTAATAATGTCATCATCATATCTATTATTTTTTTTTAATTGAGAATGTTAAAAGAAACATTCATGGTTTTGGACATGTGAATAATTACCCATACTTGCCTATACATCATCTCCCACTTAACCTTGACCAATTGTGGACGACCTAATCTTTTCAAGGGTTGATAAAGCTCTCTTTGATATATTTAATCTTCAATTTCATCTTTTAATAGTCGAAGTCTTGGCAACCAAATGTGATGCCAGCTATTAGGATAATGATAGAATGTTAAACAAAATTGAATGAAGATGAATAAACACACCAAATATCATAACTTGAAGACACCCGTTGGTTCGGTGTGATTCACCTATGTCCAAGCCAGAGAAAGATTACATATTCCACTAAATAATAGAAGATGAGTGCATCTATGATACTTTTTCACACATTAAAAAATAAGGATAGATATATCATTTTCTCTTTGTCAAAAGACAAAGGAGAGGCACTTGCTTCAGAAAGGAGGGTTGAACGTAGAAAATATGTTGGTTATTGTCGTCATTATCATTTTCTCTTTTTAACTACAAGAACATTTAAATGTGTCTTAAATTTATGCATGAAAATATGTATTTTACTTTCAAAAAGATAAAGATTGTAGTTTTTTTTTATGCGATGTTAAATATTTAAGTGGTATGCATGTAAATATGAAAGTTAAGGTGTCAAACATGTAAATATATAAGAATTATGTTGTATGTATGTAAATGCCAACTTTTTAAGAAC